TGTAGAATCAGTACTGAAAGTATTGTCGAAGGGTTCATATGCACTTTAAAAGAATAAAATAAAATATATGCGACTGTCTGATCTACCCACAACCCACCACCCCCCACCCCTACAGGTTTCCTCTTTTGCCCATACAGGAGGTCACATGATATGATCTTCTTATTCAAGATGGCGGCCATTAGGCACAACCTAGTATGGTTTCTCTCTCTCTTATTTTGTCATTATTCGCTTATATTTGCATCTCATGTACCCGTATTCATGTGGTCGAAGGACAGGTAATACACTAACGATCTATTCATTCTTTTTCGTTTACAAGTAAGCAAGATATCGCTATGATTTTGAATTCTTGACAAGAATCACTGACCAATACATTTCACCTGGTGTTTTCTATTTCTCTTGTATTTTCAAAAGTTATTTCGTCTATTCCATGATGTTTTTGTCAACGAAAGAAATGCTTTAAATCGTTTAGTTTCATACTAAAACTTGGAAACAAAGATCGGCTTATTCGTTAGCAAGAAAATTCGATTTCAAATTCTGCAGAAGAACCATATGAAAGAATACTTGTATAAAGCAAATTATTTTCGTCAAGTATTATGAAAAACCCTATTAATTTCTGTGCAGAATTTTCAATTTAGTTTTAAAATATTTCCTTGGTAGAAGATAAGAAATTATTCTCATCAAAGCAACTGTTTTTAAATTTAAGGCTTATATGTTGACAAACATTTATTTTATTTATGAAAGTAAGCTTATGAAAGCTCATGTTATTGATATTCATTTTCGAAGAATTTTATTTTAACTTCCAACCCCTTTTTTTCTTTCTCTTGCCATAGCCCTCTGTCACCTGAGAAGCCATTATTAGCTGGACATACAGTGTCTGCTCAAGACTTCAAAGAGAAATACCTTAGAAATGTTTTACAGAAAACACAGTCTGTAATTTTGTTTCTTCAAGACAGGGTGAGTACAGTACACTAATTTAATAATTAATCTCTGACATGACCCTATCGAAAGGCTAGATGTTGTATACTGTCAATAGACCTCTTCAGCTTGGTCGTAACATTTTCCTATTTCAGACCACATGTCATTCTGCTGAGATTAAGATTCTTTGTTTGAGTTGTATTCATATTCATGTGTTTTCTCAAGCAAATTGGTTAAACAAAGAAATGATATTCCAGGGAATGACGAATGGTTTATATTTAACAAAACAAACTTTATTTTTATTTCCTACTGAATTATATATAATGACTATGTTACTCACAAGTGTTCTCGTTTTCTCTTCTTTCCATCATAGTTAAGTATTGATGATGTCACTCGTTACGGAGATGCCTATAGTACTGGTAGCCATGGCGATGCCTTCTCCAATCTCAAGTTTGCTATACAGAAGGCAAATTCTTCAGTGGTGTTGCCATCAGTTGAGGTTGAAACAAGTGGAGTAACAAGTGACCTGATAGAATATGTCAAGGAAAACATTAAAGGAAAAGTTATGATTGTCAAAGGAGATGGTAGGTTATAAATCTGATTTATAATTTCCAAAGCACATAAGTATGAGTCCAGGACTAATCAGTTATGTAGAATATTGAATGAGAGGGATATGTCATGATATACTGCAGCATGATGCATTTTGGTCTAGCTTGGGTACAAACACCTTTTGTGAACATCATGTCTTATATTATGGAGTTGTTTGAACTCAAGCTAGATGGCAATGTAATCTGTTTATTCAATTAAGCTTTGGCTGTTGTATCACATGCAACTTTGGACAATCAGAGCTAGGCTCCAAACTAGGTGAAAGCCCAAAGATCAAATTGCAATAGGTCATTTGCATGATGGCATCATTTTACTCCCACTACCAAAATGCTTTGTGAATTTTCTTTGTTATTCAAATTTGTATTTCCTCATGAGAATAGTGAGTCAATATTAGTGGTAATTAATTGAACAAAAGAAAGTGTGCAAGGGAGTCTGATAAAGTGGTAGTAAATGACTATAATGCAAGTGGCCTATTTAGAAGTTGATTTTTGGAAAGTGGAGAAGGAAAACTGGAGAACCCAGAGAAAAACCATATAAGCAGAGAACCCAAAAACAACTGTACTCACATAATATGTAACATCTGTACTCATATACAACACTGAGACTGGCAGGACTCAAACCTGGGTCGTATTGGTGTGAGGCAGCGCACACCACCCTTGCTTCCTYATTGAATTCAGGCCTATGTGTTTGACATGTAAGTGTTTTTGGTTTATTTAAACAGAGCTGAAGTCATTTAAAGCAGAGAATTACCTGCTTGATGACAAAGTGACAAATGTTTTCATCATTAATCTTCACCCTGTTGAATTGAGGTGAGCAGAAGTTAATCAACAAAAATGTTATTATTATTAACTTATTTATTCATTCAGTAGATTTTAGATTAGTTTACCTTTGTAAAGCATCAAAACTTTCTGGGGTGCCATGAAATTATTACTTTTTAATGATTATTCAGCAAAGGCGAAGTAAATATCTTTGAATATTTACTGAACCACAAGGCTTCAAGTGGTGAGGTAAATTTTCGTCATATTCACTGAGCCTGAGAGGTGAAAAATTGTTTTAGCATATTTTTAGACTTCAATATCAGAGAAAGGACAAAATGAAGGCTAAAAGAAGAGTTTTAGTATTACTTCCGCTTTAGCAAACTATCGTCTCGGAATTGCTAGTCATTTGACCAATCACAGTGCGAGAAACTCTATATTCAAGCCTAATATTATACTAATAATATTAATTATCCCTCCTTATTAAATGTTGTGTCAACACTTCATATTTCTCTCTTTATATTTTCAGTTACCATGAAAGTGCTGAACTTGCTTTTAAAGAAAATGGTGGGTATATAAGTTTTACAGGTGCATGTTTTCACAGTTATCATGGTGTAGGGAAAAACAACAACAGCTTTTCCTTTAGCAATTAGTGAAATCTCTTGGAAAAGATTGTATTGTTGCTTCACTACAGTATGGTTAATGTAAAATGTAAAATAAACCAGTAACGTCCTATTGCATTTTATACAGATGAGGTGATTGCCATGGTAACTAAAGAAATTTCCAAACTTGGGACATCCTATACTTGCATCCTGACTGCACAAGCACCTAATAAGGTATTGTATAGAGTGCACTTTGATTTCACTGAGACATATGACTTACAGTATAAAGAGTAATTATTAATTTAAGATTTTCTAACTAAATTTTGAATTCCTACATAAGATATGTCCCATTTTTACTTTTTTATAAATTACCAAAATCGTTGTCACTTTCAAAAACATAGAACATCCTAAATGGAAAGTGTGTTAATAGCCAATGTACATGAGCACGGATCTCTAACACAAAGCATGATGGAAAAACYGAGTACTTACAGTTTTTCAGCTCTTCTAAAAATCCCTCTGACAATTTTTCCTTAGACATTTTCTATGAAACTGTAAGTATTTCAACAGAGAAAGTTTTTCCTGATAATTCTATTGATTTTCTTGTTCTAATTTGCGTAGTACTCAGATTCCCATCATGCTTTGTGCTAGAGATTTGTGCTCGAGCACATAGGCTATCAAATTTATCTAGTGATACAACATATAGAATGTGCATGATAGATGAGGCTGTAAGCCATGTGGGATGGGCTTGGAAATCGTATAAGAACATGTGTAATAGGTAAATTACGAGCCTTATATGAAATGACTGAAGATGAGGGCCAATGGGCCTTTCACAACTTCAAGTCGTGTAAAATGAGCCAGCTCAACTAGAAACCATGGACAGCTGTTTTGGCCTGTATTGGGCCTCGTCAGCACAGTGTATCTAGTGAGCTGGTAGAATCTCACGAAAAAGTAGTRCATGATAGATGAGTACATATAGAATGTTCATAAACTGTTGCACTGACAGAAAGTATGGAGGCTTCTAACACATGTATCATATCGACTGTGTATCTCAAATAAGCGCATGCTGTAAGAGGAACAGACGGACGCTCTTACCAACTGGTGGCTCATRCAAACAAATACTTATTTTGATGCTTTACTCTTCTGCAGGATGTCAGTAACTTGGTGGAAGCAGAAGAAATTTCATCACTCCCACATGACAGATTTAGAAGAGATGTCGAAGCAGACAGTAGCGAAAACAAAAGTGTTGACATTGTGTATCTAAATAACACCCTATTTGCCAATGGATCATGTGTGTTTGTGTACATGAAGGGACTATACTTGAGACATTTCAATGAGACATTCAATTTCTTCAACATGAGTGATATCAGTGGCACTGTGGAATCAGATTGTTCAAACTACTCAAGTGTAAGGTAAAGTCTTCCACAAGTCACCCCTAATGTAGGAAGGAATGCATATACAACTCTTTACCTTGTGCAATGTTTTCCCTTTTCAGACCAGGTGTCACTCTCTTGAGAATAAGATTCTTTGTTTGTGTTGTAWCCATATTAAGGTGCCTTCTCATGTGTAACCGTTAAACAAAGAAATGATATTCAAAAGAATGGCACGTGGTCTGAAATGCGAAAACATTACGCCCAAGATAAAGATGTTTATTTATATTCCTTCTGTATATAAACACTATAATTGGCTATCTATCTATCTATCTATCTATATATATTTTCTCACATATGAAATGCATGAAACTTTCTCAATCGTTCTACAACTATCCACTAAAGTTTATCAATCAAAGTAACTTTATAATAATTACAACATAGCTTCCTTATTGATTTTTTCAGCTTCACCATGTTATTGAAAGACGGTGGCTTTGTTGTATTAAAACTGAGGTAAGTGTAACATGATATAAAGGTTTTTAACTTATACTAATGGCATTGTAGATGTTTACTGATTGAGGTAYGTGCTTTTTATACATTAATCACTGTAGGGAATCAAGAGTGGTGTACAGCAGTAGCATATAGTACATTATAGTACACTATATAGTACATTGTACGCTCACTTCTGTGGTCTCGGGGTTCAATTTTTTGGCCTCAAATAACCCCCTGCAAAACTAACTACTTGCAATTTGATTAGTAACTTAGCTGTGCCCTGACATAGATCATATCAAAATTGTTTCAGGGTTCAAAAAATTTGAATGTTTTTGAGTTTATGAGTTTTTTACTCATAAGGCTATTTTTAAATTTTAAAACCAAGCTAACAAGCTTGAGAACATTGTACAAACAATGACTTAAAATAAATAATCAACTTTGTTTATAAAGGATGAAACTTAAGAGTAATAAAACTGATAAACTAGTGGTCCTCTTTTAAATTACAAAGGCATTACCTTTTCTTCAGCAATTTTAAGACCCTGGGTGTTGTTCTGGCCATGGCTTGAACCACAAGCTCCTGCACAACGATAGAGCGTTTTCACTCACGCTAATCGACGGCTTGCAGTTACAAGTATTTTTCTTTGTAAATAAACCAACCACTTTTGAGATGCATTTCAGATTGTTCTAACGAAAACTTATCTTTTATTACAACAGAGGTGATTTCAACGTTACCCGGTCAGATTGGAAATGTGTGAAACTTAGTGCAACAATAAAGCGCAAAGCTGGCGACGTATCAGTCGATAAACCGATTGTGTTCCCCTGCGACAAGGAAATCCATGTTCCTCTTAAGATGTCCTATCACTGCTATAACTCAACTTTTATCGGCGGGAACTACTCTTTGAGCTTCTTAAACTTTCAGGTATTGGAATTACATATTGAATTATTAAGTTGACTGCCTACTCTTGGAAAACAATTTAAACTTTTTTTAAAACTTCAATTTTCTGAATTGAAATTTAATGCTGATTCCAAATCTGTAAAGACAAATTGGGTGTCCCAAGCTTGTTTTCGAGATAATCAGCATTTAATGGAAGCCTACGTGCGAGCTTTTGGAGCAAAACTTGCGCCACTGGAAGTGATTAGAAAAAAATTAAGATTCATAAGATAATAGTTATTTGCAGACTATATGATTGCACGAATGAAGGCTAGTCAATCATTCTACAATAATACATGGATATTTTCGACAAAAAGACAGAGAGATATATTGATTTGTCATATTTTGTAGTTTCGGTGCTCTTAAGAAATCTCATTAAGTCGAACAAAATTTCCTACAAAAATCTATTTTTTCATGTGTTAGAAATATAAACTTTTTCCATATAACCTAGATTTTTAAGAGTTTTTTGAATGAGCTATTAAAAAATATCCCGTGTGAAATGTGAGGATATTGCCCTGTTGAAGCTCAAAACGCGTATGGTTCTTCAATAAAATCTCATAGATTTTTCAGTGGTTTTTGAGTGCACGCACATCGTGGGCTCAAATCCAACTTTCAAAAGTAGGCAGTCACCTTAAGTCAGTAAGTTTTTTCAAGTTTTTTCATCTTTTCGCAGTGTATAATTTACCTTTTTATCATTACTGTTTCATTAGAAACACCGACGCAGCTCACACTAGTTTTTAGCTCCTTGTAGTTATCTCTTATTATTAAATTATTTCATTCTTTCAGCCATACTTTATTTACACCTAATTCAAAAATCAAAACAGAAATTTGCTTTTTTGCTTCAGTCGGTAACCGTAAAAATCATGAGTCAGACRGTACCTCTTATGTTTTTGACTGGTGGCAGTGTAAAAAAACAAATTATTGTAATAAACAACTCACAATATATTACATGAATTCATGTATATTGAAAATAGCAGTAAAACAGTCGCTAAATCTAATCTTTACTTTTCAGATTCAGCCATATCGTATAAAGAATAACAAGTTCTCCTATAGCTATGACTGTGTTGGATTCTTTTCTATTCCAATTCTTATGGGTTTATTCACTACTGGAATACTTCTATTGATTCTGTTCTTTGGAATAATGGCTGTGTTCAGTATTACGACAATGGACAGATTTGATGATCCCAAAGGATCTCAGAGGTCATTTGGTTCTACTGGATAATAATTGTTCACATACATACTATCAAATCTTTTCTAGTTATGTTAACATAATAATTATAGCATGGGCCTTTCTCATGCGGCAACCATGTCAACTGTAGCGGTAAATTTTTTCAGAATGAAGTTACATAGGTTTAAACAAAGGTTTTCATTCTCATGGGAATAAACATGACGCTGTGTGATCGAGGTCTATAGTTCATTCTTCAAAGAACTTACTGAGTTCCATAAGATTTTTTTAAACAGAAACTTGCACTACATATAATACATATAATACTATTATAGTGTTATTCACTGTTTACAAACATTGACGTCAGCAATCTTTTCTCATTAAAATTTGCCAATCATTAAAACAAAAGATCTCTTTGTTTCAGTAGCCAATAAGATCTCTGGTTGGCACATTTTAATATCAATAGGCGATGTCAGCACAAACTTCACTACATTTCTGAATTCTTTGTATTCTACCCAGACATTGTTTTGGGGTCTGATAAAATAATTTTTTGATCCAATTGTATAGAAAATTGAAATAAATTTTTCTTGGTAGAGTTCGCCATCTACATTTTTTGCCTTTTTTGAAAAATTGGAAAACTTTGAGCTAACCTAATGGAAATGCGACTGTTGTCAAGCACTATTACAGGGATATCTCCAAATGCAAGGGAGGTTCATCCATACGTGCTGTAGAGATGAGCATCAAAATGAAATTGTTTTTTTCTTAAATACTAATCAAATTCAAGGCTATTAATATTATACTAATAGGGATAATGTTATTGATAACTTCCATGATGAAAATTTAAATTCAGGTGATCTTATTACCCTGGATTCCAGAGGCTCTCATGCTCAAGTGTTGATCATACAGGTTTCACAGAGTGCAAACAATATAACTGTGATACTTTAGAAATACTAAATAGCACAATTTCATGCGCATTCCATTGTTTTCTATTGTTTAATCAGCACTATTTTGTACTATTTAGTAATTAGTGTTTCACGGATTAATCGTTTGCCCTCTATTGTTGCAAGAGCCTACGAGAAGCATTGGAGTTATAGTCTCTGAAATGCAGGGTAGATTGTTGTGTTGTCATTTAGATAACAATCAGATGAAAATAATTAAATGAAGTACATAATTATGTACACGAATGTGTAACAAAAGTGCTAAAATAAAGAGCATTAAAAAATAAAACTGTCTGCCATCTGAACTATTCGAATTCACTGTCATCATGGTAGAAGAACTTAAGTAGAACAATAGAATACCTTTATTCTGGAGAATTGATTTGTTTCTCGTGTAAAATGATTGAATAGACCAGTTTCGAATTCCAAATTACCGCTGTGTTCCTTGATACAGACTCATTTGCACAGGGTTAGCCTCGCATCAGTGTTTAAATATTCACAAATACCAACGGTAAAGTAAAGAATGCACAACTTCAACAATACAAACACTTTGAAACTCGACGGACCTTGACTGGAACATGTGAATATTCTGCACAAACTCGAGGCTAACCCTGTGCAAATGAGTCTGTAATCAAGGAACACAGCGGTAATTTGGAATTCGAAACTGGTCTATTGTTTCTGCTATCCAACTCAACATTGCTGCCATCAAATGATCATGGTATGTTAAACAAAGAAAGAATACTCTAGGGAATGACATGATCATGTCAAATTATTATGCCCAATGTAAAAACTTCTATCACAAATCCTTCCTACATCATGTATAATATGTTGGTGTTGGTACTGAATTCAGATCAAAATACAATTTTGGCGTTATCTGATCTAGCTTAGTACGAAAATGCTTTGCTTCCCATGCCTTATGCACATACTCATTGTCATAGATACATGAATGACATCCTTTAATGTGCACCTTCCATTACACTCCATTAAAGATACAAGACAGATATAATCTAATAGACAAAAGTGAAATCCTTTCCACTGTCTCCTTTGTCATTAGGCATTAAATAAGATTGTTTTATGAAATGAAGTCATTCAGTACAAAGCGAGCTTAGAAATAACAGACCATATTTTTTCCCTACTTCAAAATTGCATTATCACCCTGAAAGCCCTTATCACGTTTCTGTCGCACACTTTCTTATAATAATATAGAAGTGATACAGCTCTCGAGATCAGAAAGTTATTCTAAAAGTAAGAAAATARGCTATTTTTTAACTCACCTAGTTTCAACCTGCATTTGTTTTGTATGTTCTTCCATTTTTTTTATTTTTGGGCATCCTGTGTTAGTATTCTAGTCAAGGTCCCAGGTTATCTCCTTTCTTGTTTGTAACGCCTGATTGTTTCCGTATTCCAAAAGTTTAAAGAATTTTGAAGGTTTCTGAAGATGAAAAGGTACAAGGAAAACCAATTATCGCCCTTGATTCAAGCATGTATGGATAACGACATTGTCCAAGTAGAAAAATTAGTTAATTCTGGTAAGGTCTGTGTGTCAAAATGTCGAGATCACCGAGGGAGAACGCCATTACACCTTGCTGCATTTCGAGGAAACGTCAACATGATTTCTCTACTTCTTGAAAATGGTGGCGATTTATGGACTAGAGACGATAATGGAAATACTTTAATGCACTTGTGTAACCATGTAGAAGTGATTAAATTGCTAGCTAGGAGAGGGCTTTCACCGTTTGAAAGGTAAACATCTTTTGAAGCTCAAAAAAGTCGGAAAATGTTTTCATTCATTTTTACCGTCACCTTCCATTTCTATGAAGTATCAGTATTGGTCTTACCTTAGACTTGGAGTGACAGTGCGAAAAATAACTAAAACAAATTGTGTAAAATAGATACAAGGACTTGACGTTTTGGTTAGGATGTGGTCTTGAAACTCATCGAAAACTAGCATCGGCTTCTCACAAGAAAGGCACAAGAAAAAGACAATGGGCCTGGGACCAGTTTTGTTGAAAGTTGAAAGGGAGGGGGTAGTACCATGTTTTTCTCAATGTTTTTTTTCCAATGAACTAAGGTGATTAAGACTACTATCCACTCTATCCTTCGAAATTTTCTTCCCTTGGAAGGGTAGGGGATAGCTTTACATTCAAGCTTTGCCACAGTAACTTCCAAAAGTCTGGATAATTTCTATTGCATTTTCCTACAGAAACTCCAACAACGAGACTCCCTTGATGTTGGCCATGAGATTCGGTGCAAGTAAAGAAGTAATTAATCTTCTCAAGAACCTAGAACAACATGAAGTGGAGGRTGAACCTCCGGTCAGTTGTCCCCTATTCAAAACTAGAAATACTTACACATCTCTTCAGGACAACAATTCATCAAATTGGACAAATGAATTATTTATAGACCTTGGGATGTATAGAATGTTGTTGATGCTACTTTTAATTTTCGCACTATCACTTTACATAACTTACTGTATTGTTGGTGAGATGCCATTGAGCTCTCCACTTCTCAACGATATTGCAGGGCACAAAGAGCACAGGCTATAAATAAATGTGATTAATTTGTCCTTGTCCCTTTAGATTGTTTTTTTTTTTTTTTTGCATGGCATAGTTTATTCAAACCCTTAACGATAAGGTTATGTAGGGTTAAAACAAAGGTTTTTATTCTCATTGGAATAAAGTACTGTACATGGTGCATCAAGGTCCATAATGTCATCTACTAGATGTCAATCAAGGCATTACCATGTCGTGCAACCTTAAATCCTCTTTCCAAGAAAGTCATGCAAAACTCTTTGATTGACATCCACCACATTCTACTTTGTTACAACRATGATCCTGTTAGGGAAAATGAATGGCCAAGAATCTAGTATCCAACATATAACACTGAAGCCAAACCAAGAATCCTATTTAGTCACACCAATAATTAATTATTTATGCTTAAAGTCAAATGCCCTGCTAGCAGAGTCTCTCTTCTCTTTCTCTCCCTTCTTTTAGGGGGGGAGGAAGGAGACTCTGCCGATGTAGAGTGTTTCCTTTGATACACCGCCGTCCACAATTATGGACGAACAAAACCAGTTTTAAAACCGATTTTTGACCGATTACATGTAGTGCGCATGAGCAAAATGTAACACACCGTGGCGCCAAACATTGTTTGACGAGAGCCGCTGTCAAAATCGTTACTAAGTTACACCAYGCATGCGTGACACAAATAACGTCCTACATTGGCAGAGTCTATTTTTCTCTCTCAACCAAAACAAAAGGAAAATAGGCTCTGCTAGCAGGGAAAAAGTCAAACGAATTGAACAACATTAAAAGGATACTGTCATTATTTAATGATATAATAATATAATCTCTACAAATGCAGACAGAACACAGGACATTTTGACAAATGTAAAACCAGAACATAGAGGGAAATGTTCCCTTCATAAACTTTAAAGCTAACGTTATCTTTCTTTGTACAGCTGTTCAGTTGTGGCTAAAAAACCTACTCACAGTAATAACAATTTTGAGTTTTAGAACTTCTCTAAGGTTCATGAAACACAAACATTCAACAGTTTTGAATTAATTAAATTCAAGAATAACCATCATGATTATAAAATCTTCAATAATATTCCTTAATTACAGGGTGTTATGAATGACTTTTGGATTCCAAAGTTCGTCCAAATATTCCAAAGTCAACTTCCATCGAGCTAACAAGAAATTCATTGGAATTAAATTCTGAACTCTCCATGAAAGAATAGTTCTTTTCACAGTTCCTAGCACTTTCTTGATAGGTAACTGTGCCTGTCCATCAAAGAAAGAACAACACTGACCTTGCAATTATAGAGACCTTTTTTAATACCTTGAAAGATTATTCATGTCTCTATCATCGCAAGGTCACTGCCATTCTTGCTTTAATGCACAGGCATGGTTACTTTTCGAGATAGCGCAAAGAAATGCAAATACTCCATTTTACAGTTCTGTTCAGTAACCATGAATGATAGTTTCAAGTCGAGGTTGGGGTTCCACGCATAGCAAAACTATAGTTTTTATCTTTTATCTTGGAACTATTATTTGTGGTCATGGAATGGAACTATAAATTGGAGTATTGGACTATTGCTTTTTTTTGCATTACAGCTCATTGTGAGATAACATGCAAACTTCAGTTCCAACATATTTCTGAATTTATTCTAGAACCAAGTTTAAAGGTCACTAAGAAACTAGTTAAAGATGAACCTTCAGAATGAACTTTGGAATTCGCTGGTCAAAAGAAATGTAAAATGCACTGAACAAGCTTAAGGCTAAATAAAATACTACTTTATGGGGACGTATTTATATTGATTGATCTCACCTTTGTGCGTTGATTGACAGTTTTCTGTGTAAAGTTAAAGTTGGTGTCCAGATTATATTTTAACTATTCATGGAAATAATAGGCAATATACAGAGGGAGTATGCATGATAAGTGTCACATGGGAATTATTTAAGAGTTAAGCAAAATAGCTCATTTATAGCATGGTACTTCGTTCAAAAACTTGATGCCAAGACCTGCATTTACTACTGTGCTCTACTGTTTCTATAGCAACTTCAATCAATGGAGTAGAATCAATGGAGTTAAGAGCCATCGTTTATAGATTGCAGAGTGTTGGCAGTGAGATATCAAGCTGCTATCTATTGATAATTATTAAGCCAGAACCATGCTGCTGTTTGCTTTCCTTCTTGGAATTTGAGACACTACTGTGCATTTACACCCTCAATATCCTTACATGTCTTTTCTCTAATATACATATTTCTACAAATCTTGGAGCATTTTTCTTGTCACGTCTCAGTTTCCAATATATTTTTGAAGAAGAGCATCCCACTTGAGCTATTACTGCTATCAGAACTGTTTTCCCCAAGAGAAACCAAGGGCTTATCTGTGTTTGATATTTGTTTTGTAAGGTCTTCAAATTTCTTGACAAAATCAACACTGTTCTCATCCATGATTGCTTGGAGTGCCCTCTCTGCCTGTGAAGTCTTTAGAAAATGGAAAGTTTCATTGAGTGACTCCTTGATTCTAAACTGTTATCACAGACTTAAATGATTTCTTTTTTCAGGGTGGAGGGAGGGAGGTAGGGAGGGAGGGATTGATGAAAGATACAGTAGTCATAATGTGTAATTATTCTTTTTGCAACTTAAAACACTAGCCATCCAGCCTTCCCAATAGCAGGGCTTGAAATAATGGCTGGTAAGTCACCAGTCATGATGACCAGCCAAATTAGTTATAGCTCAGTCATACCACATTTGTGGCTCAATGTTACTGGTCAAAATGATAAGCAAGGCAAAGATTTTACTGGACAAGTTCCAATCCTGGGTGGACATTACAATATTTTAATCCCTGCTCACGTAATGCCATTGCTGCAAAAAGCCATTCAATGGGACAAGACACTGTAAGTGAGCCTTGCTTTGCAGTGGTTGTAATAAAGATAAAAGGCTAAATTGTGGTGCAATAAGTTGCAGCAGCTAGTACTCACCTCTAAGACTGATTTCGACCCAAACAAAGAATCTTGTGATGATGTATCTTTGCTGGAAAACATGGCTGCACCAGGAGTTTCAAACCCAAACTTGGATTCTTTCTCAGGCRACACTGCTGTAAACCAAAATATATAATAAATAGAGGATATTACATAACTACTTTGAGTACTGTATATATCAAGGCTTGAAATAGAAAAAGATATAGGCAGACACAGGGAGAGGGGACTTAAAGGAAATCAGTAAGCAACAGCTTGGTAAAATCATTTTCTTGCTATTTTATTTTCTATAGGTTGCTTCAAAATTTTAAGAAGTATTTTCCCACACTGTCAGTCAGTTAATTTGAGCCCCATATATTTACATCAAATGAAATGTAAGGCTTAAAACATTAGGCTGGACAAAGAACATCGGGCCAAAATTTTACACTTGTCAAGCAAAACACTACTGGTCAGTCCTCTTGACCAGTCACATTGACTTGTCACATGCCAATCAGTCTGATGTGGCTGGCTGGTCATCATTGAGTCATTGCACAGGCATTATTATTTTTTTAGCCCTGGATATGGCAAAAGGAATGGATTCTTTGTCTTAGTGTACTTACCAAGAAAGCTGCCTAGTGAAATATCTGGCACCTGCAAGAAAAAGAAAAAGTGTCCCAAACTACAAGTCAAATATAAAGAGGGAAGGAATCTAGATTGATATGCTCCTCTCCTTCAGTGTCAAAATTCATGAGAACAATCTTACACCTTGGTACAGGGATCGTTATATTTTTCCTATATCCCATCAACCCTGGGTTTTGATTGGCAGTGCTGCATTAATGATGGGGTTATTTCTTTTAGGAGGGTAGTACATTAACCTTTATAACAGTTACATAATGTGATGCTACTGTACACCTCATATTCATGATTTATGCAAGTAGTTATCACATGTTTTGTTGAGAAAAAAACTAAATTACACTGTACCTGGAGAAAAACCATTAAGGTATAGGACATTTGCATTATGGTGACATTTACCAAGATCTTTTGCACACTTTATTTTGTTCAACTATTCTCATGAGGAAATAAAAATTTGAAAAAAGAAAATTTGCAAAGCATTATGATAGTGGTAATAAAATGATGCCATGATGCAAACGGTCTATTAAAGGGAATAAGAACTCAACTAACAAACTCAACTCACAAACCAATGTTATCTTACCTCTCCATTAAGCCACTGTTGTTCAGGTGTTGGTGAAGAAATCATCGATAAAGGTGGTGATGTGAAAAGATTCCCAGAGCCATTGCTATTGAAACCATCACTGGAATTTTCTGGTCCTGTGTTGAAGAACAAGTTTGACGGTGCTGTAGTTGTGGTGACTGACATAATTGTCTCATTACTCGATGAACTAAGAATGTTGTGGAAAGATGGAGTAGAGAAGGAAAACGAAGAGGAACCAGCTATTGGTGAGTTCATGTTTTGTGTCGGCATATCAGATGGTTTATCAGTCTTCCCAGTAGTATCAGATGCAACTGACGTAACAGCACTATTTTGAGTGAAAGACTGAAAGCCAATAATGCTGGCAATGAGCTCCGATCCTGAATCATCGCTCATTGACACTACTGGATCAAGTTGGATTGTGCTCTGGACATTGTTGGTAGAGAAATCCATGACTGATTCCAGCCCAGAGGTACTGTTACTAGTATACTGCTGTAGTGAGTTGACAAGCTGATCAACGTCAGAATGTCTAACAAACTCACTTAATCCTGTATCAATTGTCTTTTGAGGAACAAGGTGTGTGTCCTGTGAAGTGACAGTAATACTGCCCAGGAGATTGTTAGTTACAGGTACATGCCCCAGATCCAAGGTCTCACTTGTTACTCCAGGTTGCTGTACACCTGTCTCAAGTACAGTAGTAATGATGGTTGAGGCTTCAGATGTAGTAATAGGTACAATGTTCGCTGAAGGTGATGATACAGGTGATGGTGAATGGGCCACAGTTGATGCAGGGCTAGCGGCTGGAGTTAGTTGAGCTGTAAACAAGACAAATAATCAGAACAGTTTGCATTAAATTACTCATGATATCAACAAAAACAGATCTCAAAAAGAAAATTGTGTCRTTCCAAAAAATACCCATACCTCTAYTTTGAAAAAAATGGATAKGTTTCATAGTTACATAGTTGTCAAAAAAGAAATCAAAAACTTGTGGAAATGTTCATGGTATGGCACATAGCACAACAATCCTCTTTCCGTATGAAAATGTTTCGTACATATATTTTCTAAAACAACACAATACACGTACAGTACATGGTAATAAMGTTCCAATAAAAGTTTTAACAATCAAAAACTAGTGAAATAAACAGAGTTTTGAAGTCATACTGACTCCATTATCAAGGCTACAAGATTTAATTATGCTGCAAGTTGTTTGCTTATAACCTCGATAATGGAGTTGGGTATTCTCTTTCATACCTGGTTTTGGTGAGGATGCATTAGTTGTAATTCTGGAGCTGCCATCATTTACAAGAACCCCACCCGACATTGGYGAAGGAACAGAACCAATTGACTCTACTGGTTGTGGTATAAACGAGACAGCAACAGCACCTCTCGGCAAAGCATTCGCTGGCCTTGGTAACAAAGTTCTTTGAATCACTTTCTGTGGTGGATTGACAGGTAGCTGATTTTTCCTTGGTCTTTTCCGAGTATTTACAAAGCTAGTAGTTGGTTTTGAGTTCATAACAGTGCTTACTGTAGATACCCTTGTGTGATATATTCCTTGACGCAGAGCAGGGGGAGCAATCGAAGGCAGTATGAATGGAAGCTTGTTTGTCGTTTTTGAASCATTCCTCATATTTCTTGTTGCATTGGAACTTGGTGCAGGCATTTCATTTGTCRCGCCAGTAATGTCTACAATTCCTTGATTTTTGAAATTATGAAACTCATTTTTAGCCACTTCCACAAGTTTTTTCAAGGAATTATGACTATGTTTGGTGGYCAAAACCCTTCCTTCTTGGAAGGAATATTCTAATTTCAACTTTGCAGGTCTCTGCAACTTGCAATAGATATCACCAACAGTAATGTTGCCACAGCTTTCTGGGGTCCATTGCTTAGGTTTTGTTGAGTCTTCTGTCGAACCAGCAACAGAAGCGCTTGCACTTTCCTTTGCATTACTTTGCATTGAATTCAATTCCGAAAGTCTTGGTTCTTGAAGCTTTGAAGATTCAAGATTGACATCAACCTTATCTTCATTCTGCGTTTTATTTAGAGCATCAGCTTCATTTTCGACATTTATGGTGTCATTACTTGTGGTGTCTTCTACAATCTCGTTATCACAAGATATATTGTTTGTTTCTTCTTCTAATGTAAAGAAGCCAACAGGTATCATAATACAAATTGACAGGACTTCATTTGTTTTGGAAGTAGGTGATTTCACTGGCCATTTCTTCATAAGAAATTCCAGAATGATATGAAGAGGTTTCTTAGGTGATACTGTCGTCCTCAATCGAGGGTTTTTAGCTATGTGTTGAACTGCTAACCAAGTAGCATTATCACTTGGTAAGAATTCAACATTGATCTTTGAAGGAATAGGAGGTGGAGTAGCTTCAAAGTTGTCAGAAGATATAATCTTTTTCAGTGCACGGCAAGTTGGAGGTGTGATTTTTTTTGTACGTCCCTTATATCGTATGTATGTCTTTCCATCTGCTACTAACTCAAAGAGCTTTTTGCCATCTTTTTCTCCAAGTCCTATACCCTTTTTTCTCAGCTCTCCATAGCAGGTCAAGCCACCAAGCTCAAGCACTGTTCTTCGGTGTGGATCTGTTTCTGCATTTGGCTGCTTGTCTTTGGGGATATACTTGGAGATTTTATTTAGGGTTCGATAATAAAAATGCCTTACTTGATCCTTATTCTTAATGAGGTTCAMAGGATCTCCACGTCTCTTATGTCTTGCTAACAAATGAGCTTGGATTTTATCAAAGTCTTTCCCATGTTCATGAAGTGCTTCAAAGAAAGCATTCTTGTCCTCAAGACCCCATGATTCCCACTGTCTCTTAACTTTTTTTCCTTTTTGTTGTTGTGGTGTAGTATGAATGGGCTGATGACCATCTAAGAGATAACAAGAATTATTAGCCAGTATTGATTATAGTGAAAAAAATTGTGCTATTATGGTGCTATGTAAGTATAACTGAAAAAGACTGTGGGTGACTGTGAAAAGGCATGGGGCTATCAAGTATGGAAATGACGGCATCTTTTGAACCAATCAGGGGGCAACATCACTGGTTATCCAATCAAAATGCTTGGTCACAAYGCCATCACAGTCATAACCCAGCACATTTCAACATGAGTTTTTCACATTCATATGAAATCTGCTCTATGTGCGAGCATAAGGTTTTCCCATTTAAGACCATCATTCCCTTGAGTATTTTTCTTTGTTAACCCATAACGACATTTGAAATGAGACAATGACAGAAATGTCATTCAAACCAATAATCTTATTTCCAGTTGAACAACACCTGCTCTGAAACAGATAACATTATGCCCAGACTGTATAGAATCTATTCATTTCATTAACAGGATACTCTGATACCATCTTTATTGTATTTGGGAAAATGGGGGAAATTTAGAAATTGGAATAAGAAAAGTGAAAAAAGAGAAAAGAATAAATTGAAGTGAAAAATGTCAATAATTTTCTTGGTATATCCATAGATAGAGTCAGCATATACGATGGGAGTCTCTACAATTGCTATTTAGACATTTCTTAAGTTGGAAATAGTAAATTTGGGATGTAAACACAAACTTGTCTAGTTCCCAGACTTCATTTTAGTTTTCGAAATATTATCTATAAAAAGAGAAATACAGTCTTACAAATGAAAATAAATAATAAAAATGTAAGTTTTAATATATATTTTGATATGAAATTGTTAGCCATAGTGATAAGTAGGTATCGCTGTCTTGTATAAACCAAGAAATTATAAGCTTAATGGCTGCCAGCAAAAAGTCGTAAACACGATTGCAAAAGAATAACAAAAATAGCATTAATACCTTGATTTAAGGATGACTGAGGTGGAGAATTCGATTTTTTCTGTCTTTTTGGAGGTCTTGAGGTGCTTCTTTTAGAAACACGAATGTTAGTAGTGGATATTTCAGAGCGTTGATGTGAAGGTCCCTTTGTTTCCGCGTGTTCTTCATGTTGTCCGTTGACTTTCGCGTGTTTCTGGGATCTCGTTTCATGAATTACTTGAGGTTCCTTGCTCAAGATATCATCTGATGAATCAAAAATCCCTTGATCTTTTCTTTCTGAGGTATCATGGGTCGTTACTACGCTGGAACTCACTGTCATCCTGCAAAAATAAAACGAGACACATCAACAATGGCCGAAGTGAAGAACACGAGATGTAAACTTGATTGATCAAAACGGTTTCGATTGTTACTTGCTGTGTACGAACCAAAGACCTAGAAAACCTAGCTCTCTCTGAAGTATATACTAAAGAAAATATAATAAAGTCTTCATTCTGTGCTTTGCTATCTCTTCTGATGTAGAAAACTGTTATTCTAAGTAGGATCTTATTGTCGTATCTCAGCAAGACAAGCGAGAAGACCAAGCGACGTAGACGTTTGAAAGCCCTTCGTAAAACTCACTGCAAAACGTCAAACTACCTTTTTCTGGAGCCATAATTTCGACATCTGGTTTTCATGAGTTTTTCTGAGAGTTTCTCCGAAGTTGAGGTCTGAAGAACGCCACATTACAATCGTAAAGTACAAGAGTAGAGATCGCTTCGAAGCGAGTAGGTTGACAGAGTGGCAAATATAGAGCGAAAAGGATTTATAAGGAGGGGCCCAGTAAGGGAAACAGAAGAGGAATAGCTTGAGAAAAATCTTGAACATCAAGTCCCTTTAAACACTCAAAACTTTACTCTGACGAATAGGAATACAACGTTTTAGCCACAATATTGTTTAAAAACAATGAAGTTTGCACAACTTCATGAAATCTAGGTTTTATGGTTCCCATACCTTACACCCCTTGCAAGAAGGGGCATAGCTTATAGAATAAACATTTTTATATTTTGTTTAGCATTCTTCAAAACTTCTAAAACAGTRACACAAGATATACTGAGTACTTCACTTTGCTATATTCAATAAAGCTAGCATGATAGATAAATGCACTTTGAGATTTTAGTATGATCTTCAGTATAGCTGAAGCTAGAGAGGTTTATATGGGGGTATCCCAACTATTTATTTAACTGTAATCAACTTTCAAGGCGACACAAAAACCAGCAGTTCTGTGAGCCAAAAATGACAACATAAGAATCTAATGCACTTGATATTCAATAACTGAGCCACCTAGTATTCTATAGATTCGAAAGTGATTTCTGTCATAGTTTCAGAGTATGGTTTATGGACTGAACAATATGCATATCCATTGGACAACCAGCTTATGGGTTTACAGAGGCTTTGCTTCACAATCTTAAAATTTTGGGTTAAAATATTACTCCTTGGAAAAAGAAGACCATTCATTTAGGGACTATATGAGTTTGAATCTGAGTTAGCAARTACATAGGCAGTGAATAAGCTTAAATATAATCATAAATTGTAGCACATTTTGGCTGTTGCATGTACTCACATTTCAGTTGAGACTCCCTCTGATGTGCGATGAAGTTATCAATCTAAGACGATCACAACTTCAAAACAAAGATCACCACCATAAGACACACCGAACTGCATTCAGGAATAACGGAGATTTATTCCAGCATCGTTAGAAGAAAATCAGTGCTCAAATGTAAACAAAATATCATGAAGTTCTGTTTGAGAATTTGGTTTTGGCGCGAGCCTCTGATCGATGTTCGCGGGTAATAATCAATACAATAGAGTCACGTGATGCCACCCCGCCATAGGATTCATGGGTAAGACACAGGGAACCCAACGAAAATGGGAAACGCGAGGATGAAAATGAAAAAAAAAATAAAAGATGAAAATAAAAGATAAATAAAGGTTACAATGAATAGGAAATAGATAGGAAAAATGAAAAAGAGTAAATAATAGTGTATTTGTTAAATCAACCCATTTCAAGGGATTTTGGAAATTTTCCTTTGAAAATAAATGTTAAAGTGCCTGCTCTTATTTTATTTTGAATAATCATATCTGCATCAAAATGAGGCTTATGCTGACCATTTACAAACCAGTACCCTTTAGCTACGTTAACATTTTTCTTTGTTTGCAAAAAAGGCATTTTGTACATCTACTTCGATTAACTTGACATAATGCGTGACATTGCGTGCGTTTGCTATGCTAACGAAGAACTCGGGCAAGGCAGTGACGATGTTTCTGTGTCCTAGAAAATTGATTTTCTTGTTTATTTGGATTAATGCATTGGGRATTATCTTCTTGAGCTCTGCTAAGACCGTAGAGGAATGGAAAACGAGGATAATCTATCAAATATTGACCGATCGTTTTGCTCCATCTGGGAGTTTACCTACGGTAAAATGTACGGACATGAGAGGCTGGTGTGGGGGGACCTTCAAAGGCATTCAAAATCATCTTGACTACATCACAGGGCTCGGCGCGAATGCCATCTGGATCTCCCCAATAGTGCTGAATACTGACAAAGGCTTTCATGGATACTGGGCGAAAAACATTTACGAAATCGAATCTCATTTTGGAACGAAGGAAGAGTTGAAGTCTTTGGTGAGAGCGTGTCATGAGCGTGACGTCTGGGTGATGGTTGACGTTGTTGCAAACCACATGGGGTACCCCCCTGGGACTAACTGGAACACACCTTGGAACTCAACATTGTTTGACAGATTCTACGAAAACTTGTATCCATTTAACCGATCAGAATACTACCATCCCAATCATCCTTGGATAAAATGGCCAGAAGAGTGTCATGATTTGAAGAAACTCCAAGAATACTGGCTGGCCAATCTTCCTGATTTGAATCAAAGTCACCCGTATGTAGAAAAGACACTTCTTCACTGGATTCAGTACCTCGTCAACGAGTATGACTTCGATGGATGCAGAGTTGACACAGTCATTCAAGTGCCAAAGCCTTTTTGGACCAAGTTCCAGAAAGCAGGAAAAGTATTCATGCTCGGAGAAGCCAACATTGGCCCTCCACCTTGTTGCGCTTTGAATTTCACCGCTAGCTTTCAAGGCCCTTTAAATTCAGTCCTTGATTTTCCTCTTTTTTGGACAAATCGGTACATTTTCCAGGAAAAGAAGCAAAACTTTTTGTCCCTAAGCAAGTATTTGAAAGACTCGGCAAAAGGATTTTTAGACAGGTAAATACAGTGTTGATTAAATGATAACTGTTTGACATGCCCTACATCATAGACCTGAAGGGGTAAAATGGGAACACTACACAGGGGCAGATCCAGGGAGGGGCAAAGGGGGTCGTTCACATCCTTCAGCCATATATTGGTTTTTTTGATAAAAGCAATAGATTTACAATAAAATGAGCCGTTACTTACAAGTCGAGCAAAATTTGGTTGAGCTCTCCCTGGATTCAACCCTGGAACTGGGATTTGCTTCTCTTATTTTTGTTGCAATGAAAAAAGAATCTAGTTTACTTAAAATCAGTAATGCCAGTAGCAGGTATTCTTCCAAGATTTTCTATTGAAAATGAATTGCAATCTTTTTTCTATATTGTTATAATTTTAGTGTCCAAATTTTGGAGGTTATCCAAATTAATTTAATGGATTAATTTTCTGATTAATTTTTTCTTTAACAGTATTCTATTTTATAAATTTTCAGTTCTGTTCTTGGAGTTTTTATTGATAACCATGACCATGCAAGGTTCCTGAACATGAATCCAAGTTACGTTACCTTGAGAAACAACCTGGTCTACTTGGTTATGTCTCGTGGTATCCCACTACTTTACTATGGGACAGAGCAGGGCTTTAATGGTGGTGATGATCCCAATAACCGAGAATCATTGTGGCCATACATGAATACAAGCCATGTTTTGTACACATTTATCAAACACCTCATCAAAGTTCGCAAGGACCAAGGAAACGATTGGCTAAAGACTGATCAAATCGAAAGATATGTCACCCCCAATGTCTACTCCTTCTCCAGAGGCAAGCTCCTTATCATAATAACAACTGCTAACAGTACCACTACTGCTAAAATACAGTCCCATCAATATAAATCTGGCAAAAACTTGAAGAACTTGCTAAACCAGAAACAAATGTTTAAGGTATCATCCAATGGGGAGTTGGTTGCAAGATTGCAGGATGGTGAGCCCCTGGTACTTGCTGAAAGTGAAAGTACTAGTGGTGCAATGGCAGTTTCAGTGATGTTCTCTTTGCAGATTTACTCTGCTTTGCTTGTGTTTTTTGTTAAAAGAATCTTGTTGTGAGCCATCAAGTGAAGATGATGCAGAATGCTAAGTGCAGTAGACCAAATGTTTCACATCTTTCATATGGCTTCTCAGATGTGAGTGCTCAAATCTCGTGGTGCATCATGGGATACAACAGGTGGTAAAAAGTATTGGACATTTTATGTAGGATTCCTAGTGTATTAACAATGAACTAATCTTGAGCCTCGCTTGATGTGAATGTTAAAAATAAAAAACCATAGCGTTTGGATTTCCTGCTACAGTAAGTAAATAGTACATAGTCAAGAAAAGAATCATATATTAAAATTGAAACATTGTATTTCTGTTGATAAGTTTAGACTAACGAGTCTATTGAGAACAAGTTCAATTATACCTTGACTTGCCTTCATTCTGTCAGTCTTGCCAAAGCAAACCATCAATGGAAAGTAAAAAATGTATTCTCATACAAAGGTTTTAAAGTCCATTAACTTCATATATTCTAGTATAGACTAATAATAATATTGTTAAAGTATGGAAAGAAAAATAAAACCAAGCTTAAGGTTGAGTGTAAGACGTCATCATTTTCAATTAAAACACAACATTTTAAATTAGCAAMTAAATATTCTTCAAATAATAATTTTACAGTTTAACACCAAGTGAAATATTCCTTGTCATCTATTTTTGGCAATATCGATAGTCTACCTATAGTTGATAGTTATTTAAAAAATAAGACAATAACTACTAGGTAATAGATATTAGATTTCTAGAGACTATGCAATGGTACCAAATAAAACACTACTGGTAGGGATTTGGCCAACATCCTTTAAACCAATCACAGTGCACACTATACAAGGCTAATAATAATGACAGGTCAATAGACAATGGACAATGCCTGGTCAAAACTGACACTGTCTTGTCTGGCCCAACGCCTCTTAGGCCAGTTGTCTTGACCAGTCACATGTTGATCAGTCATTGTTTCATCATTGAGTATCCGATATTTTTAGCATAAAGAAATGTTTGGACATAGCAAAGTCATAAGCATGATATGGTCACAGTCCTGGCACAGCGTGTTGGTATCCTGTGTTTTTATCAAGTATATGAAATTTTCCCTATCCTCATCAACTACTAACTACCAGACTCCCTTGCACACTTCAATTGTCTTATTTTTATCAAAAATTAAAAGGGAAAATACTAATTTGAAAATTTAAAAAGATTGATTTTCACAGTTAATTTGCTTCTCTTCTAGTGTGTGACTCATTTTAAAAGCTAAACTATTGAGATCTTTCCTGAAAAATAAATGGTTCATTTAAAAAACTGTACAGACAATCACTCAGGGCATTGAATGAGGGCYGTATATTAAATAACTCTTGTAAGTTAATATGTCTTATCCCTCTTGTAAATGAAGTCATCATCGTCATCATCATCCTAATGTTGAAATGGTCATGTCTTTGCAATTCATTTTGTATCAAGTTACGTTCTTCTTCTCTTTGGCAAATAACAAAAATACTGTGCTCTTCTTCTATTCCAATATATTGAATAAATTATTACAACACAATGTTACCATATAATTCCATGCAGTAACTTAGTAATCATCATCGTCATCATCATCATCATCGTCTTTATCAYGTCTACCTCTGATAGATTTCTTTAAGACTGTTGTTCCAGTCTTGGGTTTATCTGGCGGCTGGCTCAGATCTCCAGCATAATTGATGACCTCAGCTCTAGCTAGTCTCCATTCCATCATATTAGTTGAAAACTCGTCATGTCCCCCAAGTTCATCAAACCCAACAATCCTGTCAACGAATTTGCCATCTTTTATCATGACAACTGTCGGCAACACCTTGATAGCCAACCTATCGCACAGAAACTTGCATTTTTCGACGTTAATTTTGACAAATTTTGTCTCCACGTGTTTGGGAGCCAAAAGGGCGAGGTGCTTGTCTACAATTTTACAACGAAAGGTTGAATCGCGGTAAAAATGACATACAACTCTTGGACTATCTTTGGTGTCTGGAAAAAAGTCTGGCTCGTTAGCTATCTCAGAATAAGTACCATGGCCTTTATGGAGCCATTCGCTCTTCAATTGGGCTTGTTTTTTTAGCGCTTGAAGTCGTCTTTCTCGTAGTTCATCCATGTCGTCGGATGTCATCTTTTCAAGCCTGTCAATCTCCGAGTCAACTTGCTCCTCAACTACCTTTGCTGCCTGCAGCACTGTATCTTGTATAGTTTGCTGGATATCCATGTTGATCCTTATTTTACTTTAAAATACTATTTTCAGTAAACAATATTCCAAATTAACCGATTTTAGAGAAGGTTAAGGGAGTCGAGTGAAGTTCTTTTTGTCTTTTCTAAAAATGGTSGTTGAGTTTTGAAAATCGTTACCAGGCGACCTCCTCATAAATTATTCATGAGAGGCCTGGGAACTAGCATGACCGCAAGGCCTCGCAGGTATTTCAAAATGGAGGACGAACTGTGATGAAGTAAAAAGTTTTAGGACTTTTAGTTTCAATTTTACTATAAAAAGCTGTTCAATTTAAACGTTTTAGCAATGAGTTTGACTTCAGAGGAGCCTGAAGTAGCAGTAGACTCGATATTTCGGTCAGAGGAAGAGGAAATCCCTTGTAATTTTGATTCAAATGATGTTGAAAAGCCATGCTTTCAAGGCGCAACTGAAGAAAGAGAAGATGGTGACGAGGAGGTCGACGAGGGACCAAACAACGATGAAACTTCTTGTGAAAAGAATACAAAGAAAATAAGATTAGAAGACCCATCCGCAGAATCTATGAATACTAGTGGACAGATTATGTCTAAGTCCCAGAGAAAAAGATTAATAAAACAGCAAAAATATTTAGAAATTAAAAAGTTACGAAAATTACAGAAGAAAGAGAAGCAGAAGTTAAGACGTGAACAACGCGAACTTGAGGGCGAGAAGGTCCAAGAGGAGACGGGAAATGAAAAACATGTAAAGAAGTACAAAACTATGGATTCTGAGGATGCTTTGTCTCTTAAGGTGGCCATTGATTTGAGCTTTGATGACCTCATGTCGGATAAAGATATCAAGAAATTAATGAAACAAGTTCAACGCTGTTATGCTGAGAATCGGCGCTCTTCCCACCCCTTGCAGCTCTACTTTACAAGCTTTGGAGGTAAATCAAAGCAGAGACTTGATGATCTTAGTGGGCACTATGTAAGCTGGGATGTGCACATCAAGAATGAGTGCCTCACAGAAGTATTCTCTAAAGAGAATATAATATACTTGACCTCAGATTCTCCTAATGTCCTCAAAGAAATTGACATGTCAAAGACGTATGTAATTGGAGGGCTTGTTGATCATAATCACCACAAAGGTTTATGTTACAACATGGCACTAGAAAGAGGATTAGGTCATGCGCAGCTTCCTATTGGAGATTTCATGAAATTGTCAACGAGGACTGTACTAACTGTTAATCAAGTGTTTGAGATTATTTTGTTTTATACTGAGAGTAAGGACTGGCAGGATGCTTTTAATAAGGTTATGCCCCAAAGAAAGATAACGCCGAAGGTTAAAAGGAAGGGTAAAAACAGGGGGGTGCATGTTGAACAAGAGAACAATGATGATGTTAAAGAAGAAGAATCCTGTAAAGGGGTTGATAACTCAAATGATGAGGATGATGAAGATCAAAAATAGAATATGGAATGATAACAGAAAGGTCACAAAAACAAATTATCACCTAGATAAGGTAACTGAATGGAGCCAACTAAGACTTTGCCTTAGTTTGCTTGAGTGAACACAAAGTAATGGCACCAAGTCATAGTTTTATTTTATTAGGGACTTGTGGTGTTCATACATTTTACTGTATTTTATCAAGTCCTACCTCAGCTTGGAGCCATGGTTTTGTGGTCACTTAAGAAAATCCAAGAAAGGCCCATTTCCTGAATCAGAACCAAGAAGGTCAAAGAGTGACAGCTAATGAAGTGCTAGCTAGTGTAACCTTAGGTGCTAGTCAAGAAAGGCAAGTAATGCAAGGGTTAGTTTTGAAAAAAGGCTGAATCAAAACCCAGAAACATGCAAAATATCAAAATATTTATTGATAAATTTACAACAAAATAATATACAATCTTGAAGGATGTACATGGATTTGATTGATGATGATGATGACGATGATGAAATATACTTATGAACAAAATCATTACATCAACAAACTATAAATAGCATTACTACATATTAAGAGAGCTATTTATACCACATCTGAGAAACAAAGCAAATTTTTAAGTGGAAACTGAAAACAGTTGCATTCAAGCAATGTTATTGGCCGAGATACAGGTGAAGATTTCCTGTCTTCTGATTGGTTCAGAAGGAAGCCATTTGAGTGCTGAAATACCATTCATTCCCACTCTCTATGGATTCTGCTTTATACATTTATAAATATTCTTAATACCAACCTTTTTGCAATTTCTATTCATTTTTGTTGGTTTAAGATAGATGGGTGTTCTAGCACTTTCATTTTATTAAATACCTAAAATCCTTCAAATAACTCTAATTAATTATTATTAACTTATTAAAATCAATTTCTACACAACTCGTGATTATTAATTATTATTTACCACACATCTACTATTGATTTTATCAAATGTTATTATTATGTTAAAGATATCTTCAAAATCCCATCAACCACTTTCTTTTTAATATTGGAAATGAAAAATTCTCTGTAAATAGGCTGTGCATATGGTACCCAAGTGTACAAATTTCATTATTACAAGGTTTTGGACACAGAAAAAGACATGTACATAGTGCAGATTATTACCAAGTTACTAGAAAAAGATTCATATTATTATCCCAACTTGACATTATTTTCTCAAACACTCTTAGTTTCTGCAAAGTTATAACTCTACATTGTGGTTTTTGAATCCTGACAATCAAAATTTTAAAAGGCTTTTTTAGGTTTCATAACAAAAATGATTCTAAAAACTGAGCTGCAACTGGAGTATGAAATATGAAGCACCCCACATGAACTTATTTACCTTGAGCTACTGTTTTCCGTTCTTCCAAAACATCATAAACAATAAAATTTTACAATCAGATCAAAGTGTTATTGTTTTGTTTAGTAGAGTGAATTTATTTAACCCTTCAAAAAATAGTACGCACAACAGTTATTAGTCGACTCTAAACCCATTGTTTTCTTTCATTTTTTTTATCAACTAGTACTAGCTAAATAGTCCTTTTTCTTTCACGGGTTAAATAAAATTACTCTAGCAGGCTAGGTTTATAGAAATGGGTACCCATGAATACTAGCATGCAACAAAAATATATATGAGAACAAAATAATAATAATAAACTTTCTAATCATAACATATATATCGTAACAATAAAATATAATACTATTAATTTTATGATTCTATTAATCTTTTGACTGAATCATGTCATTGATCTTTCTGTAATTGAATATGAATAATAATCTGTGAATACACATGGCTGATTGAACTCTCGAGTGGTTATATCACAGTGTTGTATATTTGAGAACATCTGCATTTATTGCTTAATAGTACACCATTAAATTTTGAAGTTGTTGGATGATGTGGGAACGAGACTATTGTGTGGGCCCAAGAGACCGATGCGCTGCTTTTGTTTCCTTTGTTCTGTCATCTGCAGTTGAAGAGAAAAGTTATRGTAAAATATATCATGTAGATGTGAAATGTGAAATATATTATATTAGAGGGCCACAGGGTCATCAGTTTCCTAAACTGTTAAGTGCTACCCTCTTAAAATAAAGTCTATGTAATGTTTAATAAACGAGCAGGAGTGTTTTATCGGGTATAAAACACGAGGCRCAGCCGAGTGGTTTTAGACCCGATAAAACACATTGTGTACCGATTTTTTTACGAAATGAACCAAGTTTGATAGAGAAAATCCAAGTTAAAGTTTATGCAAATGAAGACGAATCTATATCCGATATAAAATCACCTTCATGCTCATGATTTCTATTGTGTTTTCCTCATGAATTATTAATGAGCTTTCTAATGTATTGTATTGTATTGCATGTTTAACAAATGTCTTAGTGGATACTATATATTGAGTCTTGTTGTTTTAAATTGAATATTAGACATTGACAAGGTTGGACTTGGGGAGTTCAAACATTTACTATATTTTATCAATAGACCATTTTCAAGTTCCTAATTATTGCTGTGTTCCTTGATTACAGACTCATTTGCTCAGGAATAGCCTCGTATCAGTGTCTAAATATTCACAAATACCAATGGTAAAGTAAAGAATGTACAATTTCAACAATACAAACACTTTAATTCCACGRACCTTCAATGGAACATGTGAATTGAGGCCAACCTTGAGCAGCAGAAAACTCAAAACTGGAGCATTCTAACCTAGAACATGTCTATTCACGTCATAGAATATGTGTTGAAGTTGTGCAATCTTTACTTAACYGTTGGTATTTGTGAATATTTAGAYGCTGATATGATTATCCATGACAATATGGCCAATTTCTCGTTCTCTCACACGAATCAAAACCAATTATTCTTGACCATCCTCATAGTTGTTGCTATGGAAACATTGAGTATTAAGCAATAAACCTATGTGACTTAACATTTGACAAGCCAAGGCCAAGTAAGAAGGATAGTATCTATTCTCCCAACCCCCTTCCCCCCACACACACACAAATGGGAACTCCTATGGAGAGGGATGAGGAAAGGAGATGTGTATCTACTAACTGACATCATAACTTACCTGTTCTCTTAGTTCAGACAGTTGCTGTGAGAGGGTTGCTACTAGTTTAGCTGTGTTTTCCAGCTTGTCACTCAGATTACGCATCTCATTCTGCTCTCCTTCTCCTTCATCAATGGCAAGACTCATAGCCTGCATCCTTGGAAACCAGTCCAAGTTCTTTTCCTGTGATTTATAGATCAAAATTCAGTTCTTTTCAAGTTTCTCCCTTGAGGTTGAAGAGGTTTTTTAAGCATTTCCTCAAATCCCTCAAAACTATGAGTGATGTTCAGACTGTCATCATGTACAAACTAGAGCTCTATTGCTACTCAAACAAAGTGATCTTTTATTTAAATGGTTGGCAAATTTGAATGAGGAAAGACATGGTTTTATCATTAACTGTAAAATCCTGGTTTTCAGCACTGGGCTTATAATTATCGCTAAGGGTTTTTTGATCAGGTTATGACCTGAGGGCTTTTGGGATGGAGACAAAATTGTATTTCTTTCTTTTTCCCCTCCTCAATCRGTCTTGTATGTGTCACCAATGCCATAACTGTAATATATCTGGGCTTACACCAGGGTGGAGGGGTGGGGGGAGCTAATAACTGGAAATTAACAGTGCAATTCAATACCTTGATCATTTGAGCAACATAGCTTTCAGGCCCAGTAAACTCTGTAGGGTCTTTGACCTTGAGGAGTACAATGAAGAACAGATAATGCCACATGTTGTGTTGAAGTTTGATGTGTTCTTCAAATGACACTGATTTATTATCAAATGCAGACCGGTCAAGACCTGCAGAAATAAAAAAAGTGTAAATAGCATGCCTACTTATGAGGAGGGGAAATGGATTTACCAAGGAAGGAGGGCCTGAGAAGGGAATTATTATTGGGCAATAGACCTTTCCTGAATCTGCTTGACTGATCACAAAACAATGGTTTCAAGTCGAGGTTGAACTTGATGAATAAAAGRATCAAGTTCAATCTTGACTTCAAACCATTGTTTCGTGGCCAGTGAAGCAAATTCGGGATAGGTCTATTCTAGGAAATATCCATACGAATGAGAAGAACTTCAAGCGTCTAGTGTTTTCCAATGCTGGCATGCCTCAAAGCCAGTCACACGCCAGGTGGCAATAAAAGATGGTGATGAAGATGCATGACCCCCAGGAGGGGTTTCAGAATTTCCAAGGGATGGGGAGGGTCTTAGGAGAGTATATTGTGTAGTCCTATCCATACCTTCCCAATGGTGGGAGATTATAATTCCCAAGGGGTGGGGAGGGTCTGAGGTGGGTATATTGTGTAGTCCCATCCATACCTTCCCAATGGTGAGAGACTGGAATTTACAAGGGGTGGGGAGGGTCTTAGAAGGGTATATTGTGTAGTCCCAGAAAATATCCATACCTACTCCATGGAGGGGGATTTGAATTTCCCAGGTGCTTTCCTTGGAAATTTCAATTCCTATCCATGGAGTAGGTATAGATATTTTATGCAACCATACAGTGTTTGGCATATATTATGTTTTTGCCATCTTACTTACCACAAATAAAACAAGTATTTTTCAGGATTTCATCCTTATTCTGTTTCTCACTTCTCAAGTCGGCAAATGTATCAATGATGACACCAAAGATGAGATTAAGAACAATAATAATCACCACAAAGAAGAAAAGCAGATCATAGATCACACGCCCTACGAACATCTTTTCCTGTTAAAGGGAGAAAATTTAACACTGTAACAATATTTTATTTTATTTTATAGTCATCAACATTTATGTAGTACCTATGCCGTGAGTAATATTTATATTGTGCATCTTCCATTGAGAGATGCTCACATGCGAAGTAGGGAATTTACAACAGTGAGGGGGAGTCAAGCTGTACATGTTGTAAAGCCCATACAGTTCAGACTTGTTTGTTGTACATTTAAGAATGTCTAGGAGTATAATTATATGGTCTACTAAAATGATTCTATGAACACCATCAAGTATTACTACCTACCTTGCTTGAAGGTCGTCTGAGCACATCACCAATACCACCTCCATTCCGCAGACCTTGGTTAAGTGTCGTCACGATGCACATGATCAGGGTGTCACAGGCTCTTTCTTTAACAGAACCTGATTCTTCGCCATCACCTTTGTTTGTTACTGAATCTGAAACATGCTCCAGACTATTGGCCATGGAATAAGAGTCACAATCCTTACTACCTGCAGGACAGAACTTTTCTCCTGAGGAGGGAATGAATGAAAAATGGTTTTGGAGAACCAAAGATAACTGATATTATCATATRATTATCCATAAAATACCTATATTTCTCCTTTTCGAAAAATGATATTTTCACAAGTGAAAATTTCTCCATGTGTATTTAAGCATTAGTTTATGAATAAAAACTTTTCATAATAATAAAAAGCT